TCCATGTTTTCATTTGTTTATTGTCAGTCAGGACTGTCTTTTCCTTCCCCTTTCTTCCGCCCTCTGAATAAAGCACCTGCTTTTCCAAGGTTCTCTTGTTGGCTTCATTCTCTCTATGAGCCCATCTGTGTCAGTGGCTTCAATGACGCCATCTATAGAGTCATTCCCACGTCTACATGGCTAATCTCGGCCTCACTTCTGGACTCCAGTTCTGGATTCTAGATGTCGATTGAAGGTCCTCCTACGGATTTCTAGTAAGAGTAAAAATGACATAGTCTATGCTTCCAAAACAGCTCATTTTTTTTTTAACTCCTTAAGCAAATTAATTTTCTTGTTACTACTTCTGCCTGTCCCCTGCTGTGTTCCCAGTTAGTGAGTTTCAGGACTCTGGCATCATCTTTGAGTCCTTCCTTAAATCCAGTGGCCTGAACCTTCCTATATTCTTGAACACTGTCCTTTCCTATGCCTGCCCTGTTTAGGACCTGACTGCCTCACTCCTGGTCTTTTCACCCCTTCTCTCCCCATTCTCTCTCCAAATGCTGACTGAACACCCACCACATGCCACCCTGGTCCGTCCTATATATACCGACATGTGGAGCAGAGCTTCCTCAATCACTTTCTGATCCTGGCACCACCTGCTCAGAAATATTCATGCGTTCTTCATTGGCCAGTCAGATAAAGAATGTGGAAATGATACATTCTGAGCATTTGTTACCTAGCAGGCATGTGAGGTAGGACTTTCTTACCTCTGTTTATTATAGAAGGACTCAGGCTTGGAGACATAAATTGATGTACGCATGGTCTCATAACTTGTCAAGGGTAAAACTGGGATCTTGCTGTAGCTTTCTGGCTCAACTGCAGTACAGGGCCTAAATTTCAGTCCCTTAGCCAGGTGTGTGGGACCCTGTGCCACGTGGCCCTCTGCTCCCCTGTGTGATGGTCAGCCTATGCCACACACGTGCAGGTGACTTCTGGTGCCCCTCTCAGCCCCAGTGGAGACCCTCATTTCCTATTGCCCATGGCTGCCTGCTGATTCACTTCTCTGTTCTTTGGTCACGCTGTTCTTTGCATCCAGTGTCAAACACACCCTCGCTCTCTGTCTAAGTTCCATATCCATCCTCCCATACTCAGTACAAAGAACTTGTCTTATTTCTCCTCTGTCTTTCCAGAGCAATCTCTCCATCCCCTGAATCCTCACTGGACTTAGTAGAAAATCCCCTGTGGTTATAATGTATGCTGCCCTGGCCCTCTAGGGACTTAGTTCCCTTTTTTTAAGCATTCCCGTAGCATCCTTTAGCACCGCACCCCGCCACCTTTTGAAGTTCTAATAATTTTATAATTAGTTAAGTATCCATGTCTGCTTCCCATAACTAGAATGTTAGTTTCCTGAGGACAGGGACTGGGCTGTCTTGTCCTAAGTGTTCACCTGTGTGACACCTGTTTGGCTCTGTGTCCCCACCCAAATCTCATCTTGAATTGTACTCCCCTAATTCCCACATGTTGTGGGAGGGACCTGGTGGGAGACAATTGAATCATGGGGGCAGTTTCCCCCATACTGTTCTCATGGTAGTGAATAAGTCTCATGAGATCTGATGGTTTTATCAGGGGTTTCCACTTTTGCATCTTCCTCACTCTCTCTTTGCCTGCTGCCATCCACGTAAGACGTTACTTGCTCCTCCTTGCCTTCTGCCATGATTGTGATGCTTCCCCAGTCATGAAACTTTAAGTCCAATTAAACCTCTTTCTTTTGTAAATTGCCCAGTCTTGGGTATGTCTTTCTCAGCAATGTGAAAATGGACTAATACACTGTGTCTACCTCAGTGCCTGACACGTATTAGATCTGTGATGAAAATTCATCAAATGAATCACCTAATGTCTTGTTCCTTCTCTTGTAGACTCTAGGTTACTTGCAGGGGAATGGGCACATCTCTTTCATCCCTTTCCTTCCTGTATCACCTGCAGCATCTAGCTCTACATCTTGCTAATAGCAAAAACTCATTTTCTGCCTTGTAGAATGAACTATATTGAAGGCCTTGAGAGTCATCTCCTCATCTGGTGTGAAGCCAAGGGTATCCTAGCTAACACTCATTATGCTAGAACAAGTTCCCCCTCCTCCTACAGCTTCAGGGAGTTCCATAGAACCACTTGAAGCTCTTCCAGTATCCCTGCTCTCTGAGCTTATTGAAGAGCTCTTAGAGGTGAGGAGTCAGCACAGAGACCATTGTCAGTGCCACTCTGTCAAGAGCCCATTTTTCAGCATCTCGCTAACTCTGACATTTCACATCTCATTCTCTTTCTTCTTGCCAAGAGCCACTATTTCTTTATGGTCACCATGTTCCCTCTGTTCCCTCCTTTAAAGCTTTCTTGACTCTGCTCCTCTCATTTGCTCTCTTCTTGGTGTTTGGCTTTGAAGCCCCAACTGTTCACATGCAGTTCTAGGATATCTCTCCCCACCTATAGCCATGCCCCTTTTCCCTAAGAGTTCCTGCCCTGCCTGTAGGCTGTGGCTTCTCTGGAGGCTGTTCTGGGCTGTCCTAGCTGAGCTGCTGGAATCCCTCTGCTCATCCTTTTTCTTCCCCTGGCACAGTGCCACCTGCCATCCTTTCTGGGCATCTTCCTCTTGCTGTCAAAAAAAAAAAAAAATACCGACAGAGAACTACTTAGGTGAAGGCTGAGAGGCTGACACCATAAAAATATTATTAGTTGGCCTGAGAGAGTGTAATAAAGGGAGTTTTATGAGGTATGACAGCTTTCTAAAGTTAATGAACCATCTGGCATTACGTCAAACAGACAACGAGCTTGCCAGGAGCTGGCACTGGTGCCCAGCCCCATTCGGGCGTGGAGGGATTGACCTTCCCTTCCTTACCTGGCGGCCACATTTGCTGTTTCTCCACAGTGAACTCAGTCAATGGGAATTCTTGGGTAGTGCAGAGTCTGAGTCTATTCCCTCTGCCCAGTATCTTTGTTTAGAACATACTGCAGGAGTATCCATTGTACCAAGAGGGGTAGAAAGGGTCAAAAGAAAGCACGAGCCTGGCTTCGAGCAGCCTGCTTTGGTAATGTATCCCGAGGCCACAGTACAAAAGTCAACAATACATTGGACAGAAGACACCTTAATTGGAAACTTCCTTTGACTTAGTGTGAGAGGACAAGACACAATCCCAGGGTGGATGTTTCGCTCATCAAACAGGGCCCAGCACATGCACCAGCCAGGTGCCCTCTTCCATGCAGTCAGCACCACTGCTAGTTTGGGGTCTTGACTAGAGGTCCACCTGTGGCCCACAGTTGCCCTGGGTAGGCCTAACAGACTCAGGGATGATCTCTGTTGGCTTCTCCTAGGTATGCTCCACCTGCCTCCGGTTTAAGGGAGCATGACCCATGTGGCCGCATTTCAAGAGCACTAGGGTGTAATCTAACCTGTGAGGCCAATTGTAAACAAGGGTTATTTAAGTAGCTTCACCAAGTATCACACTACCTGGTCGTATTATCTTCTCACAGGCTGGTGTGAATCTCTGAGGCAGCCATATAAGTAAATAATAGGCTAGCAATGATAGCAGTTAACCTCTATTGAACTCCTATTATGTGGCAGGCACTGGGGGAAGAACTTGGCACAGGAACCTGCCTACCCACAGCAACCCTAGGTAGTAGATACTGGTATTCCCATTTTGCAGATGAGGAAATTGAGTCTAAAGAGTTTAAATAAGTTGTCCAAGTCACATAGCTCATAAGTGGCAGGGCTAGGATTTGAACTCAAGCTGGTCTGAATCTAAAATGCCTCTTTATCTGAGGCAAGAGGATTGCTTGAAGCCAAAAGTTTGAGACCAGCCTGGGCAACAAAGCAAAGCCCTGTCTCTACAAAAAATTTTAAAAATTAGCTGGGCATGGTAGTGCATGCCTTAGTCCTAACTACTATGATCTCACCTCTGCACTCCAGCCTGAGTGACAGAGCAATACACTATTTCTAAAATAAAATAATAAATACAAATAAAATACAATAAAAATAAAAGTAAAATAAAATGATAAAACCTGCTTTTTACCCACCAGTGAAGCTTGTGACCATAGTACAAATACCACACCCTTGAGCAGCTATGGAATTCTGGGTTACAGGGAGATTGTTAGATTTAAGAGATTATGGTGTGAAGTGCTAGCTCTGTTACCCTAAAGGATAATGTAAACAATGAATGCTTTCTTCCCATTTCAGTTTCTTCATTTATAAAATAGGCACGTGCCGCCGGGTGCAGTGGCTCACACCTGTAATCACAGCACTTTGGGAGACTGAGGTGGGTGGATCATGAGGTCAGGAATTCAAGACCAGCCTGGCCAAGATGGTGAAACCCTGTCTCTACTAAAAATACAAAAATTAGCCAGGTGTGGTAGCAGGTACCTGTAATCCCAGCTGCTTGGGAGGCTGAGGCGGGGAATTGCTTGAACCCGGAAGGCGGAGGTTGCAATGAGCCAAGATCATGCCACTGGACTCCAGCCTGGGCAACAGAGCAAGATTGTGTCAAAAAAAAAAAAAAAAAGAACGGGCAAAGGACATACACACAAGATATTTAAAACACATATTATCACTGAAGCTGCCACTCACTTGCACCACTGCCATTGCCACCTACAGATGTTCCTGAGCAGTTGGAAGTTCCTTGTCTCATCTAATACTTTAGTGGTTAGGGTCTTTGAAAAAATATA